GGCGGGTCGGGTCGGGTCGGGCGGGCCCTAACGGGCGGGGCGGGTTCGGGTCGGGCGGACCCTAACCCTAACGGGCGGGTCGGGTCGAGCGGGAGGGACATTAAAGTGTGGGGCGCGCTCGAGTGACCACGCGTGAACCCTAACGGGCGGGTCGGGTCGGGCCGGGCGGACCCTAACGGGCGGGGCGGGAGCGGGTCGGGCGGGCCTTACAGGCGGGTCGGGTCGGGCAGGCGGGACACTAAGGTGTGGAGGCGCACTCGAGGGAGCGCGCGTGAACCCTGACGGGCGGGTCGGGTCGGGTCGGGCGGACCCTGGCGGCCGGGGCGGGTTCGGGCCAGGCGGACCCTGACGGGCGGTTCGGGTCGGGCGTGCGGAACATTAGAGTGTGGGGCGCGCTCGAGTGAGCACGCGTGAACCCTAACGGGCGGGTCGGGTCGGGTCGGGCGGACCCTGACGGGCGGGGCGGGTTCGGGCCGGGCGGACCCTAACCCTGACGGGCGGGTCGGGTCGAGCGGGAGGGACGTTAAAGTGTGGGGCGCGCTCGAGTGAGCACGCGTGAACCCTAACGGGCGGGTCGGGTCGGGCCGGGCGGACCCTAACGGGCGGGGCGGGCGCGGGTCGGGCGGGCCTTACAGGCGGGTCGGGTCGGGCAGGCGGGACACTAAGGTGTGGAGGCGCACTCGAGGGAGCGCGCGTGAACCCTGACGGGCGGGTCGTGCGGGGCAGGCGGACCCTAACGGGCGGGGCGGGTCGGGTCGGGTCGGGCGGACACTAAAGGGCGGGTCGGGTCGGGCGGGGCGGGCCCTAATGGGCGGGGCGGGTCGGGTCGGGCGGACCCTAACGGGCGGGACAGGTCGGATCGGGTTGGGCGGACCCTGACGGGCGGGTCGGGTCGGGCGGGCGGGACATTAGAGTGTGGGGGCGCGCTCGAGTGCGCACGCGCGAACCTTAGCGTGCGGGTCCGATCGGGCGGGCGGACATAACGGGCGGGGCGCGCCGGGCGGACCCTAACGGGCGGGTTGTGTCGGGGCCGGCCATGGGCCCTCGCCCGGGATCCATGCCCGTAGCCCCCGCGCTCCTGATGGACGCGGAGCACTTGTAGCATTCCCACATTGAGACGCCTTTCTTGCTGGTGTGCTTGATCCTGTAGCAGTAGCCTGCGTGAAGCAATTTGAGCCCACGCCGGTTCGTTGGCACCAAGCGAGGGCTAGCGGCCTCGGGCACCGCGGCTGGGGCGGCACCGCTGGCCAGGGCGGCGCCGGGCCCCGCGGCAGGGGCGGCGTCGCCTTCAGGGGCGGCGCCAGGCGCTGCGGCGGGGGCGGCGCGGCTGGCCTGGGCATCGCCGGGCCCCGCGGCTGGGGCCGCCGCGGCGGGCGCACACTGCCTCGACAAACCCAGAATTCCAGAATCGAAAGCCCGGGGCCCTGGGGTTCCGGTCTTTTCAAAAAGAATCGGCTTCCGAGACGGCCTCCGCGACATCCCCCGAGGGGATCGGAAACGGCCTCGGAGACGGCCTCCGAAGCGGCCTCGGAGACGGCCTCCGAGACGGCCCCGGAAACGGCCTCCGAGACGGCCTCCGAAAAGGCTTCCGCAAAGCCCCACGGAGGGGCAATACCCCGAACCCGGGAATTCCGGGGTTTTGCCATGGAGCCCCTATGGTAGGGCAACAAAGACCAGACACCCAGGGTTCCGATTGTCCGACACTGGAATCCCGGATTTACCACCCCCCTCTGCTTCGGCGCTGGCGGCCGGGCGCCCTCCGTGACCCCGACGACGTCGTCGCCGCCGCCGCCGGGCCGCGCCCCCGCGAGGGCACTGCCGCCCCGCGGGTCTTGTCCCGGCTCCTGCCCCGTCTCGTCGTCCTCGTCCACAATCACAACCTCAAGAACGGCCTCCCACGGCGCGGGCCGCCCGCCGCCCCCGATCATCTGCCGAGCTGCGCCGGGCACCATGACGGGGACGGCACGGCCGTCGTGGGTAGCGCCCGGCACCGCGGCGGGGGCGGTGCAGCCGTCTACGGCCGCTGGCGGGGCGAGTCGCCTGGGCGCGGGGGCCTTCGCGGCGGCCTGGCCGTGGCCGGCCCGAAAGGCGAACATCGCTGCCGGCATGCCGGGTGGAGGAGAGGAAACGACCAGATTCACGCATGCACGAAGCACCTGGCCAAGCCCCCTGCAGCCAAAGGTCGGCGCGTGCGCCCCCCCTGGCTTTGCCACAGAGGCACGCGTAGCACTGGCTGACCCTGGGCCTCAGGGGGGCATGAGCAAGGGCGGTGTGCATGTGTAGGTCAGGCCGTCTGGGAAGAAGTCGAAGGGTTGAACTTCCAGTGCTGCTGCGGGAACGCTGCGGAGCTCCAACCAACCGGCCGCGGGCAAGCCAGAGGAAGACGGGAGAAAGAAGAGCAGCAGCAGCAGCATGAAAGAACAGAAGAGGGAAGAGGAGAAGAGGAAGAGGAGGGCGAAGCTGAACCCACGCGAAAACGAACCCGGGCGAAAGCCAACCCGGGCGAAAGCCAACCGGGCGAAAGCCAACCCGGGCGAAAGCCAACCGGGCGAAAGCCAACCCGGGCGAAAGCCAACCGGGCGAAAGCCAACCGGGCGAAAGCCACCCCGGGCGAAAGCCACCCCGGGCGAAAGCCAACCGAGCGAAAGCCAACCCGGGCGAAAGCCAACCCGGGCGAAAACCAACCCGGGCGAAAACCAACCCGGGCGAAAGCCAACCGGGCGAAAGCAAACCCGGGCGAAACGAACCGGGCGAAACGCACCGGGCGAAAACCAACCCGGGCGAAAAACATCTACGCCCGAACCAGTAGTGACCCCCCCTGGTTTTCCGGATCCGGAGGGGGGGGGGGTGGTTCGAACCGGTAGTGACCCCCCCCGGTTTTCGAGGGGGAGGGGGGGGGGGGGAGGGGTTAGGGGAGGGGGGGGGTTTCCCGGGGGGGGGGGGGGGTCCAGCAGGGGGGGCGGGGGGATTTTCGGAGGGGGGGGGGGCGACCCCCAGGTTCCGGAGGAAAAGGTTGGCAGTTTTCCACAGTAAAGCGGCGGTGGATCACGCTCTCTCGCAGATCGACAGATCGCGCCACAGCCTGCCAATATCAAATGGGGGGCGCGCGGGGGGGGGGAAAACAAACATTGGGACAAAAGGTGCAGGATTTGGTCCATCAACCGTTCGGCCAAGGACCTGAGACCTCGCCAACTCCTATGATGTTCCAACCTACTGTAGCCTTGATCACCAGAAAGAATTTCGAGCACCAAGAAAGCACCGAAACTTGAGGGTTTTCGCGCGTTCGGCCCTGGGAGGCGATACTCGTTCGACACGGTTTCGATACTTTTCTGGGTGCTCGAAATCATTTCTGGGGTGTGGTCCTGAATTATATGACCGGGGGCAGCATCATCCAGCCCGTGCCTCGCGCGGTGGCGGGCTCTTGTGCCTTCGTGCCCCTCGTGGCCGTGGCCGAGCGCGGCTCGGAGAACGGGCCAGGACGGTGCCTCGGAGCGGCCCAGGTGCCAGCTCTGAGCGGGTTGCTTTTCGGACGGGGGCAACAACAACGCAGCCATGCGCCAGCCTATGGCACCGCGCCTCGGCAAGACAGAACATAACAAGTGGAGGAGGGGAATGGGAGGGGAGGAGTATAGACACACTAAAATCTATGGCTGCGCGTGTTGCATTAGTTTGTGCACGCACTGAGCCCACCGCAGCTTTGGACGGGGCTAGGACGAGGATACATCCGTTCTGGAACGCTCTGAGAAGGCCGCGGCGCCCGAGACGTCCTCCAGAGCCGCCGGATCTCGGAGATTCCCGATCTGTCCTCGTGCTGGCTTCGTCCCGTGTCTGGCCTCGTGGGAAGGGGGAGGTACAACTCCGTCATGGACTACCACCAGGCGTTCGTGGGCCAGAGGACGACGCCGCTGCAGGTGCTGGAGGCCGCCCTGGCCGCCATCGACGAGCAGCCGCCGGATCTGCGCGTGTTCGCCTCGCTGGCGGACCGTGGCGCGCTGCGGCGCGAGGCCGAGGAGTCTGGCAGGCGAACCAGGGGCGGCCAAACCGACCCCTAGCAAACCATCCCCTTCCGTGACGTCCCCCTCGCCTCGCCTTAAGTCGGGCCTGTCCCTCTACAGGAGGAATGTTCAAAAATAGTAAAAACATATTCGTGGGACGATCTTGTTGTTACTATGTTTGACTATTTGGGCGACTTTTTTTGACTATTTTTAATTTTTCTGCCCAAGTCCGCCTTTAGGGGGACACGCCCAACCTAAGACCTAACGCTAGCAAACCATCCCCCTTCCCTCGCCTCGCCCCAAGACGTATGTATGCGGCTGGAAGGGGAGCTCGACAGGCGAAGGTGGCGTCACGGGAGGGGGTGCTTTGCCAGATGTCGGTGAGGCCGCGCCCGAGGCGATACGCCGCAGGCAGAGCGCTGTCCGAGTTCGACGGGGTGCCGGTCGCCGTCAAGGACATGGTGCGCGTTGCAGGTCTGAACTGCACGTTCGGGACTCACCCGTCGTTCGGCACTGGCCCAGATACGCAGGACGATATCGTGGTCGCCAGGCTGCGCCAGAAGGGGGCGATTGTGCTGGGCCTCACGGTGATGACCGAGCACGGAACCAGTCCACTGGGCTACTCTGTGCACAGCCGCGCTCCTGTGAACCCTTATAGCCGACGCCACTACTCGGGGGGCTCGTCGAGTGGCTCGGGCGTGGGGGTCGCGCTGGGACTCTTTCCAGTGTCCCTTGGCTTCGACGGCGGTGGTTCCATCCGCATCCCCAGCGCTATGTGTGGCATCGTCGGCCTGAAGTGCACCTGGGGCCGCGTCCCCATCGACGGATCAGTCTGTTGCCAGGTCAACGTGGCGCCAGGGCCGATGGCGGCATCCGCTGTTGACGCGGCGTTGTTTTATCAGGTCATCGGCTCCGCTGCGCGGGACCACTACTACCAGAGGCTCTACGGCGGCGCGGAGCCTCCGCCCGCGCACTGCTCGGGCATCGGCCGCATCGAGGACCTCGGCGACCTCCGCCTCGGCGTGTTCTGGGAGTGGTTCGAGGACTGCCAGCCGGAGGTGCTGTCCTTGGTCAGGGAGGCCCTGCGCTTCCTGCAGTCCAGGGGCGCGCAGGTGGTGTCGGTGAAGATCCCTCACCTGGAGGTCCTCTCTCTGGCGCACGCCGTCAGCATCTCCGCCGACTTTACCACCCAGCACGAGCACCAGGCGTTCGACGCCCCGTGGACGCTGGAGCCGGCTACGACGATTCAGCTGGCCATCGGCAGCGCGTGGTCGGGCGTGGAGGTCAAGTCCGCGGACTGGTTTCGGGCCTGGATGTGCGACTTCCTGCAGCGGCTCTTCGACGAGCAGCAGCTGAGCGGGCTCTTCATGCCTACGATGGCCTGCCTGCCGCCCGAGCTCCCCGCTGCAGCCAGGGACACTGGCGAGAGCAACACCTCGCTCGTCATGCAGCTCATGAAGTTCATCGGCCTCGCCAACTTCTGCGGGCTGCCAGCCGTCTCGATGCCCGTCGGGCTGTCGCCTGGCGGGCTCCCGGTGGGCGCGCAGCTCGTGGCCAGGCACTGGGACGAGCACATCTGCCTCCGCGTGGCCAACGCCCTGGACGTGGACCAGTTCAGGAGCGTGCCGCCAGGCCACGTCGATCTCCTCGCCCGCGCGGGGGCGGCTGGCCAGGCAAGCTGCTGAGCATTGGCGGCGCGCAGGCTTCAAATATGGCTCCCGCGACTGCCAGCAGGCCTTCAAGACACCCTCTAGAGGCCCCCTGAGGCCCCCGAGGGCCCCAAGACTCCTCCAACAAGCCCGAAAACTCTTTCAGAGGCTCCCGAAAAACGTCGTAAGAGACACCAAGAGGCATCCGGACCCACGACCCAGGCACAGTGGGGCAATGGGCCGAACACCACTCGGACGCGATGCGTTACTTTTGCGCGAAACTCCCCCGCAACACTCCCCTGGAGCGACCAGTGATGCACCTCCGGCGTCCTCGACGAGGAGCAGGAGGACCAGGGGAAGGCGAAGGTGGGAAAATGATGAGGATGGCAACGAAAAGGAACAACTCGGATCCAGAAATGGTGCCCGCGCTGGGGCGAGAGCGCAAATCTGAGAGGGAGGTGGAGGGGGAGGATGATGAGAAAGGTGCATGCTCACACTGATTATGTTTGCTAAATCGCTCGTCTTATTAGTTGATCCACATGTGGTGCGGCGCATATCCGTCAAGCTTGGGGGAGCAGTGCAGCAGGGCTGCAGCGTCGCTCGTGATAGTTCTGCGCGCGTGTCGTCGAGTTGCGCACGTGTGCGCGCACGTGCCTTCGCTGTGCCCCCTCCCCCTCCACGCGTCGCTGCTGGCCGCTCCAGTGCCGAGCGACACTCGCGATCTGCCGGGAGGCCCGTGTGGCCGAGCACTTGGGCCTGTCTTGGGGCCTTCCTGGGGGCCGTGTGGGGAGTCCTTCTGTGGGATGTCTTTTGCGCAGGAGGGTTGGGAGGAGGAGGAGGAGGAGGAGGAGGAGGAGGAGGAGGAGGAGGAGGAGGAGGAGAGGAGGAGGAGGAAGAGGAGGAGGAGGAGGAGGAGGAGGAGGAGGAGGCGGAGGAGGAGGAGGCGGAGGAGGAGGATGAGGAGGAGGCGGAGGAGGAGGCGGAGGAGGAGGATGAGGAGGATGAGGAGGAGGCGGAGGAGGAGGAGGAGGAGGAGGAGGAGGAGGAGGAGGAGTGAGGCGAGGCGGATCGTCAGAGTGGCCTAGTCCCGCGACGGCTGTCTCTCATATCCATCAGTGCCCCGTAATACATATATAGATATATGCATCTATATTTTTGTATATATATATAGATCGCAGAACCACCTGGGCGTATGATAATCGTCCCGATGTGTACCTTACAGCAGCTAGTCTAGCATAGCTACCGGCTGCCGCCGGTGATACGAATTGTACCAGCTGGCTTTCAACTGCCCGTGCTTCATTTCCCCCCGTGCATCTTCAAGCGGGGGAGTGGGAAGGGGAGGGGAGGAGGAGGGTGAGGATGAGGGCGAGAAAGAAGAAGAAGATGAGGAGGGCGGTGAAGAGGAGAAACAGGAGGAGGAGAAGGAAGAGGAGGAGGAGGAGAAGCAGCAGGATGAGGAGGATGAGGAGGAGGTGGAGGAGCATGAGGAGGGCGAGGATGCGGAGAGCCGTGATGATATGGAGAGTAAAGAGACAGGGATACAGAGATGGATGATGATGCTGATGCTGCTGCTGCTGCTGATGGCGACGACTATGTTGATGATACTGGTGATGACGATGCTGCTGCTGCTTCTGCTGCGGCTGCTGATGATGCTGCTGCTGATGCTGATGAAACTTATGATGCTGATGTTGCGGTTGATGATGATGCTGATGCTGAATGCTGATGATGATGGTGATGATGATGATGCTATTGATGATGATGATGCTGCTGCTGATGATGATGATGGAGATGGTGATGGTGATGGTGATGGTGATGCTGCTGCTGATGTTGCTTCTACTGATGGTGATCATTGTTGTAATGATGCTGATGCTGACGATACTGACGATGATGATGATGATGATGCTGATGATGATGCTGATGATGATGATGATTATGCTGATGTTGATAATGATGATGGTGCTGCTGCTGCTGATGATGATGACGATGCTGCTGCTGTTGTTGCTGATTAGACTGTAGATGGTGAGATTGATGGTGGCGATGATGATGATGATGATGATGATGATGATGATGATGATGATGATGATGATGATGATGATGCTGATGATGATGCTGATGAAGGTGACGATGCTGATGATGATGATGATGATCATGATGATGATGCTGCTGCTGATAATGACGACAATGATGATGGTGCTGCTGCTGATGCTGACGATGATGATGGTGCTGCTGCTGCTGATGATGATCATGATGATGATGATGATGATGATGATGATGATGATGATGATGATGATGATGATGACGATGATGATGATGATGATCATGATGATGATAATGATGATGATGCTGACTATGATAATAAGGATGAGGAGGACAACGATGATGCTGATGCTGATGCTGATGTTGGTTCTGAATCGGATGCTGCTTTGTACTTATCTGTGCGGACAAGCTGTGACTTGCACCACCTGTTCAAGGAACGTCGCACCAGGGATCCAGTATTGGGACGATGGTGCGGTAGCGGAGGAGTCGAGAGCACCGCAGTGGCTCGCCCCAAAAGGACGGCAATCCGCTGCCGCCACTCGCGGAGCGGTGACCGTGCACAGCCCGTGCCACGGAGATGGCTCTGGTGCCAGGTGATGCTTGCCAGCTGCTGCAGCAGACGCGACAGCTGCGGCCCATGCCGTCCGCCGAATCCAAGTGCATGCAGGGCCCCTGTACGCTGGTGCCGCCACGAACTCCATACAGTCGGGGCCCTGAAGAAGGAACCCTTTTGGTTGGGGAGGGTCTCCGCGTTCCTGAAGTGTTTCACAGATTGCCCCAGGTTTTCCTTATGTTTTCGATAGGAGGTCGAAGTTTAACTTATGAAAAAGGGGGCCTCGTTCCTTATTTAGGGTTCCTTAGGTCAACGCCCCGACTGTATTTCCTTTCTTTCGCAGCCTCGGCAGCGGTCGCGCCAGCCCCAGCGGTCGCGGAATGGCCGCGGCGGTGGTGCGTGCTGACGACCGTGGCGTCACCGTTGAAAACTAGGAGCGAACAGTGGCCCAGAGATGGAAGTCCACGAACGGCTGGCACATGGTTGCAGTGGCCAGCTCTGGAATCACGACCTCGCGTGTGGCTGCAAGGCCGGCTGTGCGAGCGCGCGTCGCGAGCTCGTCGCAGACTTCACCATGCAGACGGTTGTGGGCTCCACCGATCATGCAAGAGATCGCATGGCCTCCAAGCTCGTCGAGTGCATGACCACAGACCCTTGCGGTGCCGGCAGAAACGTGCAACGCCGAAGAGCGGTAGCTGGAGTCGCCGGCGGACATTGGTGCAGAATCCATCGTCCGACCAGGGGGCCAAATCCCCTGTGTCATTGGCCGCAAATCCACGCCCACCTTCTGGACAGCCTCCGGACAGCAGTGCTTTCGCTGCCCAGGCGTGCCTGCAGAGAGTACGACATCGGCCGCTCGAAGCATCCACAGTTTACGGCGGTGCCGCAGTGATACGCCTGCAGATCTCGCGTGCCCGAGCGAAAACGTGTGGGCACCTGTTTGCGCATCAGGCCCCGCCTGTGACAGTTCCCACGTATCGAGGAACATCCCGGTCGCCACCAAGCGGCCAAGGCAATCCTGGCAGCAGCGAGCATGCTAGAGCGCTCGTACCCTACGTCGATGACAGCCGCTGGCAAGTGAGCGGCAAGCTGCTGCGAGTGTCAGCAGGCCCCAAGAGAGCCGTCCGGACAAGGTCACCGACCGCGTTGTCCTGGCGACGCGCGTGCGGCAGAAAGCTGCTGGTTTAACAACACAGGTGTCGTAGGACAGAGCGCGGTTCAAGACCAAACACACGAGCTTCCAGGGAGGAGATGGTCCAACTTGCAGCAAGTGGGCGCTGCATGCGCAGCTCGCTTTGAAATCGAAGCCGCACCGCTTTTGCACCGGGCCGAGGGTGACCCAGTCAAAACTAAAATGCGCGCCGTGGATGCCAAAGAACGTAAGACCAGACGCGTCGAACTCAGCATATGGGCGCAGCTCGGCAGGGAGCTCGCCTGAACGGGCAGCTGGTACTTTGGCTTTTGTCTGTTCCAGACCACTTGCTGCAACGGACTGCGTCGCGATCCGCATCGATTGAAGCCAGTGCTCTCGCGGAACTGCTATGCAGACGTCGTCGACGAAGAGGCGGAGACGCGGGCGAGAAGACCTACCTGCAAACGCCTGTTTCAGACATGTCCCGAACGCTGGCTGAGAATGCTAGGCCGAACTCCGAGGTTGCGCCGCAAAGCCCTGGCAGCAACCCTCCTGCATTTCCGTCGTCTTGAGCTGCTCCCCCCAACCTGGACGTGGCACAGCTGCCGGACTCCCCCGAACCACGTGTTGTGCTGCAGGGTCGCCGTGCGCGGAGAGCAGGCGCGGGCCTGCTCGTAGATGTCCTGGCGGCGGCAGTGCCGAAGGCGTTCTCGATGCCGAGCCCGAGGTAGACCTCGGTGATGAGGGCGGCAGTGCCGCTCCCTGCGCCAAGCACAGGCTGGTTGCTGCCGACGTGCGCGGAACCCTGCTACTGCCGTTGCTGCTGATGGTGGTGGTGATGATGATGCTGCTGATGCTGCTGCTGATGATGATGCTGGTGATGGTGATGATGATGATGATGATGATGATGATGATGATGATGATGATGATGATGATGATGATGATGATGCTGATGATGATGATGATGATGCTGATGATGATGATGATGCTGATGATGATGATCATGATGATGATGCTGATGATGATGATGATGATGATGATGATGATGATGATGATGATGATGATGATGATGATGATGATGGTGATGCTGCGGAAGAGGAGGAGGAGGAGGGGGACGAGGAGGAGGACGAGGAGGAGGAGGAGGAGGAGGACGAGCAGGAGTAGGAGGAGGCGGAGGAGGAGGAGGAGGAGGCGGAGGAGGAGGGGGATTGGAAGGGGGAGGGGGCTAAAAACAAAGGAGGAAGGCAGAGGAGGAAGACGAGGGTGACAGATGAGGACATCGAGGAGGATGAGGGAGAAGGTGCGGAGGAGGAGGGGAAGGAGGAGGAGGATCAGGAGAAGAAGAGAAAGGAGGAGGACGAGGAGACGCTCCACTATGGTGCTCCCAAGTTGGGGCACAAGGTCGTGCAGAAGTCGAAGGAGGCCAAGATGAAGGCTGCGATGGCTGGAGGGAAGTCCAAGAAGAAGAAGTGGAGCAAGGGCAAGGTCAAGGAATTCGCCGCCGTTCCTTCCCTCGCGTTCCACCATCTTCTCACCCTTTCTGTTACTCCGCTTCCTGCCTCTCAGTGCCCACTATCCGTTTTCCTTTCTTTCTACCTTCCCCTTCCTCTTCCAATCCTCTTTCCCTGTCCCCCTTCTCCTTCTCATCCAGCTCCTCCCTTTTTCTCATTTCTTCGGTCCTTGAGCGCGGGCTGGAGCAGTTTTTTGGGAGCTGCGAGACATCCAGCCGAGAGAAGTGCCCTCAGACGCCGAGCGGCCTGGCAGCACCGCCATCTCTGTATCTAACTGTGTCGCCGAGGGCGCCGCCATGGCGGACATGTACAGTCGGGGCGTTGACCTAAGGAACCCTAAATAAGGAACGAGGCCCCTTCTCTCCAGAAGTTAAACCTCGACTTCCCATCGAAAACCTAAGAACAACCTAAGGCAAACTGTGAAACAATTAAGGAACACGGAGCCCCTCTCCAACGAAAAAGGGTTCCTTCTTCAGCGCCCCGACTGTAGTCCGTGGCCATCCCCAGCAAAGATCAGGCCCTCGGCATCCCGGCTCTCGGGTCTGAGGGCAATGCGTGGTAGCCCTGCGACGGGATCCGGACCGCAGCCTTGCTGATTGAGTCGCTGGCAAGCAGACACGATGTGCGTCTCGGGCATCCTGGTTAGAGAAAGGGAGAATGCCGAGACTGGCACAGCGGCGAAACAAGGCCGGCTGTCATGCAAAGCTCTAGCCATATGTATGCAATGGGCGTGGCCGTCTTCTGGCATTCTGTCGAACAGTGTTGGCATTCCCGTCCAGCAGCCCACTGCCTCCATGGCGTGGCTTACCAGTGCCATGCGGTCTTGCATCGTGTGATGAAGACGCGCCACGACCTGGGCTCCCTGGCATCCCTCGGCCAGCGCATGGATACTGTTGCTCTTACGTTGTTGTTGGCCCGTGATCATGGCACCGCCATGCAACAGTCCCGATCGAACCTTTCCTTGCCCCATGCATTTCTCAGTGGAGCTCGCACCAAACAACACTTCGAGCGGGCTCAACTGTCGGTGGACCCCTCCGCACCTTGTTGCTACTGCATCGAAGCGGAGTGAATTCAGGATCATATTGTTCTTGGTGTCAGGGCTCGCGCGCCGCATCCTCCCCAAATGTGGCTTGGACGGGGCCTTCCCCCCCCCACACGCGGCATGGCTCTGTGGCCTCCCGTATCCTCCGAGACGTGGCGCATCAGCTGCTCGCTCATGCGCTGGTGTCGGCGAGTGGCCCGCCTTAGCCGCGGCCGAAAGCCTCCACTCATACAGCCGCCGATCAGCGGAGCTTGCACGAGCCGATCAGCCGACGCGGGATATTTTTTTGCGCGCCGATCAGCGGAGCTTGCACGAGCCTTGCACATCCTCTCCTTGCCCATGCTGGGCTTGCTATGCACGTTGGCCCTCGCCACTGCCCTTGGCTGCGCTGTTCTTACATTCGGCGGCTGTGGCCGAGCAGCCCACCCACGTCTGCATCGACACATGACCTACCTGTGGGGAATGACTTTCGGTCCGTCCTGCACGGCGGTCCCTCTCCTCTCGGACCACGCGCAGGCCTTTTGCGGGGTATCCACGCCTTTGCCCAGGCTGGAAGAGGTCGCCAGCCATCTTGGCCAGTCCGGTAGATATGGGTATGGGCTGCTCCAGAAAGGGCTTCGCCTTGAGGAAACCGGCGGCAGTAACATAAGCCCTCCCCCAAGAGGTGTCAATCTATTTAGATTCGTTGTTTCGGGAGCGGGTAATTACCGCCATTTTCCCTTTTGACGGAGACCTGAAAGGTCATGCTGGCGAGCTGGCGATGGTCCGACAAGAGTTGTTCAGGGCCACCACCCTCAGGCTGCAGACGTGGCTGCGAAACGCTGGCTTCGTCAGGTTATCGCTCTTCACAATTCGCGCCTGTCAGAACTTGCAATGCCCGTTATCGTATTCGGCCCCTCCCACATTGCATTGTGTTTTTTCGGGGGACGAGCTTTGGGACATGTCTTCGCCCCCTGGGCTTCAGGACACCCCATATGTTGGTGGGGATTGCCCTGAGATGCTTGCTGCCGTGGCGCATCGGCCTCTGAGTAACTAAACTCTTCTGCTGATTCTGGTTGGCTTGACTTTTCCACCGGGATGCGTTGATACAGACGAAGGTCCAGGGTCAGCGCTGCTCACCTGGATTCTCGTTTTCCTTTCGGCCTCTTGTGGTGGTGCGCCTTAGGGAAGATTTCTTGTTGGCTGGCCTGGCTTGACACGACTCTGTTCCCAGCGGGCGCTTTCTCACGAGGGACGACTGGTCTCTCCCCTGCTGCCCGCGGCTGCTAGTTGCGTGAGGCGTCACGGTGAGCAGGAGCGTGCACCGTCGATGGCGGCGGCCTCGATGGGCATGCAGGGCGTGTTCATTGTGCTTCTCTCGTGTGGCCCTTGGCCACACGAGTCGACTGGGCCTTGCAACCCTACGGCAGGATAGCTATTGAGGTTTCGTTTCGTTCTCTTTCTCCTTATCGCTCTTCCTCTCATGCTGATCCTTCTCCCTCCTCTCTCTTCACTTTCTACTTTCACTTCCCATGGAGGGTTCGGGGTAACTGTCTCAGGTGTGTGGTCTGCACCGTATTTAGGAACACCGGGGAGCAGGTCCCTGGGCCCAGAGGCGGTCCACTTTTCAAACTTCACCCCTCTTTGCTCCCCCTGACGGCCTGGGCGGCCGACATCAAGTTTTGGTCGGCCCAGCAGGGCTTTACGGAGGACCCAGGAAGAAACCAAGAGGGCCCGAGAGGCCTCGGAGGCGGCACGAGAAGCCCCAGACTGCCAACATCACCAGCGACGGGCTGCCCAGGCACGGGGGTGGCCCACGGCGTCAGAACTCCACAACTCCTCGTTGCCCCCCGCCCCTGGGGACGGCCTGGGCACTCGACATGTGATTTGGGCAGTCCATGGGGGCCCTGCAGCCGCAGAGGGCCGACGCCTGAGAACTTACACACAGCATAAGAAGCTGTTGTCAAGGATGTAGCAGGTGCGCACAAGCACACACATACATATATCCGTATGTACATATGTACCAACAATATCCACATATTGGTTGGCCAGGGCCCCAGACCGCGTGTTTCTCGCAACCGATGCTGTGCAGTCTATGTGGTGCACGCTATGTGGTGCACGCTATGTGGTGCACTATAGGTTGTGCACACGAGGTGGTGCAACACATGGCGTGCAATCTATAGGTTGTGCAAGCTATGCGGCTCAATCTGTGTTGTGCACGCTATGCGGTGTAGCCAGAGTGGTGCAATCTATGTGGTGTGTTTTTTCCACAAGCGCGTAAACACATTCCATGCTCTCGCAAACATCTCACGCACCCACCCGCAGCTTGGTTTGCAACATCCATGCGGCGGCGATTGCGATGAGTGCCTGGCGCTGGCTGGTGCATGCCTGCGGCCGCGCCAGCCCGCGCATGCACGCGCAGCGGCCGTCTAGTTTGGCGCGACCGACGCGGCCGCGGTGGCGCTGACCGGTGGGCACATCCCAGCGCGCACTTCAGTGCGAGTCGGCGGTTGTGGCTGACGCAGTATCATGCCAGCGTCGGCAAAGGTAGACACGATTATGATCTTAGCGATGCTGGTGGCGATGTTGACAGCGACAACGGCACGGCCAGTGACGGTGCCGATGTTGATCACACCGGCGACGATGACGGCGTCCTCGCGTCGACGATGAAGGTTTTTAGAAGGAGATCGACATGCGCGCGCGCGGCCGACGCGCGAGAGTGGCCGCGTGGTATCATTTGAGACGGATCGCGTCTCCTCCCCCAGCGCGAGCGCAAGGGCGCTCGAATGATTTCGGCATGTGGCGCGAGAGGCCCGCTTGACAGAATTCAAAAAATTCGCAAGGGCGCGAGCGCAGGCTTTTTTGAAAACGGATGTTGTGAAAACATAAGGTTGTGTATGGTTTCGGGGCAGTCGGTTTTGAATACCTTGCGAAACCTAAAAAGGTGTTTGAAAGATTTGGTCGCGCGCGCGACGACGCGTTCGCATGCACTTTGTCCCATTTGTTGTAAAAAGGGTTCTCTCGACAGCGCGTGCGCAAGGGCGTTCGAGAGATTTCGACACGCGTGCTCGCGAAGCCCGTCTGGTAGGACGTTTTGAACATGTTGCACATAAAAAACGGTGTTGTTCTTAAGACTTCCCAAGGGCGCGCGCGCACGTTTTTTTTTTTTTTTTTTTTTTTTTTTTTTGTTTTTTGTTTTTTTTTTTTTTTGTTTTTTGTTTTGTGAGCGTTCGTGTTGCAACACCATGTGTGTTGTATATATTGTGGGGCGCTAGATTTTGAAATCCTTACGCGGCCTACGGTTTTTGATATATTTTGGCATGCGCGCGCGGCGACGCGCGCCTGTGCAATTCGCCCCATCTGTTTCAATGAGTTTTTGAACACGGATAGTTTTTGATCAACGAGTGTGCGCGCATTTTTTTGGCAGGATCGTATGAATTCAGGTTTAGGATGGACGTCGGGGCAGAAACATATGTAAATTGCAATACGAAAAAGGGGGCGATAATCTTTGTGTGTGTGGAGACTTTATGTTGTTTTACTTCTTGGGGAACCTACACATCTTATATTTATGTATATGTGTTATATATATATAGATATATATGTTTGTGGGTATGTATGTGTATATATATATATATATATATATATATATGTTGGTGCATGGTGTGGAATCTATGTAGTGCAATATTGGTGGTGCGATCTACGTGGCGCAGAATATGTTGTTCATTCAATGTGGCGCAGTTGATGTTGTGCAATCTTTGTAGTGCAATTTCTGCGGCTCAACCTATGTTGTGCAGTCCTTGCGGTGCAATCTATGTGGCGCAAGTTACACATTCCATGCTCTTGTTAACGCCCCGCCCGACCACCCGCAATCGGGTCTGCAAAATCCATGCGGCGGCGATTGCGATGAGTGCTTGGCGCTGGCTGGTGCACACCTGCGGCCGCGCCAACCCAGGCGCGCG